CGATAAAACTTCTTTGAAAAAAACGCGCTAAAAAGCAGCAGAAATTTCAAAAAAAGTAGCAATAAAGAAAACGAAGGAAATAAAAATAAAAATATGACCACCGAAGCCGACGTCTTCAGGGGGTACCGGCCTCGGTAGCCATAAAAACAAGACCATTTCTAATTGAAGGAGAAGCAAATGCCTAAATTAACTCCCTCAGTACCACGATGGTTTTGTATCGAAGTCCAGGAAAACATGCAATACAAATAACAAATTAAGAAAAGAAACTCAAACAAAATCATCAGAAAAATAAAAACTCACATAGTCACAGGTCAAACATCGATTTCACAAGCAAGCCGAATGAAAAGAAAAAACTAAAAACTAAAGAAAACAACGCCCTCTATTACAATGCGCAGATGGAGAATAAAATGAAAAAAGTCAAGAAAAAGAAATACGTAACAAATTAAAAGAATGCTTAACTGGGGCTGTTCAGTTAAGACCCTGTTAAAAGAAAAAAATTAAAAAAACTTAGAATTCTTCAATCATTTTTTTAATTAAAAATGATCAATCATTTTTTTTTCGTTTTATTTTTTTCATTTTATTCTCCATCTGCGCATTGTAATAGAGGGCGTTGTTTTCTTTAGTTTTTAGTTTTTTCTTTTCATTCGGCTTGCTTGTGAAATCGATGTTTGACCTGTGACTATGTGAGTTTTTATTTTTCTGATGATTTCGTTTGAGTTTCTTTTCTTAATTTGTTATTTGTATTGCATGTTTTCCTGGACTTCGATACAAAACCATCGGGGTACTGAGGGAGTTAATTTAGGCATTTGCTTCTTCTTCAATTAGAAATGGTCTTGTTTTTATGGCCACCGAGGCCGGCACCCCCTGAAGACGTCGGCTTCGGTGGTCATATTTTTATTTTTATTTCCTTCGTTTTCATTATTGCTACTTTTTTCTGAAATTTCTGCTGCTTTTTAGCGCGTTTTTTTCAGGGCAGTTTTTTCTATTTTGAATTTAAAATATTTGTGTTTTCTTTTAGTATTATTACTATGTTAATTAACATATTTATAGTTTTAGACGATTTTAAAAATATGTTACGAGCTAAATATCGAAATTATATAATTTTCACGATTTACATATATTTAATTTGTTGAAGCACTATGAAAGCCTAAAAAATTAAAAATCAAAATGTCAAGAAAAATATTTTTCCATCCCTACTAAAGACAACATAAAAGTAGTATTTTAATCAAAAGTTTTGAGACAAAAACAAAGATTTTAATCTCTTTGTTAGATTAATTTTTAAAATTAATAATTTTATTATTAATAATTTTTGTCTAAAAATTATTTTCTCCAGTTTAGTATGTTCATAATAAAATATTATAATTTTTTTTTTAATTTTATTCTTTTAACCGTTTATACTCATGTTTTTTTGTTTTTAAGCTAACAAGTTTTTATTTTTATTATTTTTATTATTTATACTTTTATTTACATAACCTGCCGTTCTATGTTGTTTAAAGAAGAAGAATAGTTTTTTTTTTTTTTTTAATGGCGGGCACTTAGGGGTTGTCGCATTGGCCACAGCTATGTCAGAACTACTACTCTCTTCTCGTTACCCAGTAGGCACCTGTGGCGAAGCCACGGCGGTGAAGCAGCGTCGGCCACGTCATACAACCACAAACCCGTTTATAGGGCTGGTCACATTCACACAATCATAGAACACAGAGAGTATAAACACAGAGAATAGTAAAAACATCATTTAAGATCTCAATACAATACAAAAAACCCAGACAGTTTTTCTTTTTCATTTTCCTATAGTTTGGATTTTATCGTGGATTAATTTTGCGCCTGCCTATTATTGATAACCCTATATTAAACGATATCAAGTATTCGAAAAATGGCCGATGATTTTGAAAATCAAATTTTTAAAAAAACGATCAATAAACGACAAGATAAAGATAGACGGCTTGCAACGTTCTTCTTAGAAAACTAGAAACTTCATTTATAACAAATTTCAAACTAAGTTACAAAGTTCGTCAACAGATGAATGTTAACTCTTAAAAAACCATTAAACATTTTTTTCCCAAGTAACCATCATATACAGCACACACGTGGCCCAGTTTGAGGACAAAATTAACAGATACCGGTGCAAATATCTTAATTGGAATGGTCTGATATGTCGCAAAACGATCTGTTGCAAGCGTTATCTGTTGACAAACTGTGTAATTACCTTTGAAAATTCACTCAAATAAACCTTATGTCCTAAGCAAAAAAAGAAGAAAACATAAATTTTACATTTCTATTTCCTTCCAATTTTCTTTAGTTGAGTTTTCAATTCATCGATCTTTTATTGAACACCCGATAAATGTTGATGCATTAATAGTTTTTTCAATTATCTTACCTAGTACCACTCCCCACAAAAGTGTGATAACCAATATATCTTCAGCAAAGAAACATCCTCCTATGCCTAAAGTGGCCATAATACTTCCAATGGTAATGATCCATTTAGTGCCTAATATTTGCTCAGCATATCCAATCAATGGCCCTATAAAAGATTATCGTCTTCGTGTGTTATAAAATTTCTATTTGAAAACATACTTTTTAACAATTTAAATCAAAATTAAAGATATTAAGTTGGAGTTCGCCTAAGGCACATGCCTCGCGTAATTAGACNTATATACAGGGTGTCTATAAAAGAACTCCGGGGTTTTAAAAATTCATATCTCACTAACTATAAAAGATAGCAAAATTTAGTCGATTTCTCTGAAAAGAGTAGCTCAAAAAGTTTTACTCATACCAATTGGGAATGTTTGTATCAACTGTTGGCGGCGCTGCAGGGCGTTGACCTTGAAATGACGTCGCGAAATTTGAAATGATGGCGACTCCGCAACAAAAGGCTCAATGTGTTATTTGGCTCATAGAAACGAAGTCTTTAGTTACCGTACAAAGAAACTTTCGACGTAACTATGGTGTTAACCCGCCTTCTGACAAAACCATTCGTCAATGGTTCAGTGCATTTACAGAAACAGGAAGTGTTTTGAAGCAAAAGTCGCCGGGTAGGCCGAGTGTGTCTCAAGAGAAAGTGGACAGACTCCGAGCTTCATGCCTTCGAAGCCCTAAGAAATCGTTGACAAGACGCAGCTTGGAGTTGGGGTTACCAAGATCAACTGTCGGTAAGGTATTTCATAAAAGACTACGTTTAACTGCTTACAAGATTCAGCTTGTACACCACATCAAACCAGCAGACAAGGTTAAGAGATACGACTTTGCTGTTTCAATGCTAGATAAAATTGATGACAATAATGGTTTTTTAAAAAGTGTAATTTTTAGTGACGAAGCTTCTTTTCATGTGAATTGTCACGTAAACCGGCATAATTGCAGAATTTGGGGTTCTGAGCCGCCCCATGAGTTCGTCGAGTACGAACGCGACACGCCCAAAGTAAATGTTTGGTGTGCGCTTATGCATGACAGAATCATAGGTCCGTTTATTTTTATTGAAAGAAATATCAATGGTGATATCTACTGTGATAGGAGTATCTTTTTCCTCAGTTAGATGACATTGAGGTGGAGAAGGGTTTAGTTTACTTTCAACAAAATGGGGCCCCGCCACACTTCAGTTTACGTGTGCGTGAGGCATAGGACGCTCGGCTCGGCAACAGGTGGATCGGAAGGGAGGGACCTATTCCATGGCCTCCAAGGAACCCTGATCTGACTCCGTTGGGTTTTTTCTTCTGGGGGCATATCAAGAATCTTGTGTATGCAGAGAAAATTCGTGATGTTCAACATCTTATGGAACGAATAGTCAATTGTGTGGCAACCGTCCCCCTAGACATGCTCGCCAGGACATGGGAAGAGGTAGAATACCGTTTAGTCGTCTGCCGTGCCACTAACGGGGCTCATATAGAACTTTACTAAGTTTTAAAAAAAACTTGAAAATGTAAGCTTTTCAGTCATGTATAAAACATGTATGTATGTTTTTTACTTCATTAAAATATTTTGCCTCAAAACCCCGGAGTTTTTTTATAGACACCCTGTATAATGATAGGTCACATTTTTAAATTATTATAAAGAAAGCTTGTTTAGTAGAACAAAATACAGCGATTTCAATGTAGGCAATTTCTGTGTATTATTCTGCCATTCATAGGAAATTCCGTAAATGTATAAGGTGCTATATGGGAACAATACTAAAGAAAATTGTGATGAAAAAATATTAACCTTGGGATAAATAAAGCTAAATACTATATTGCAATACCGCTAATTTTGTGGATCAGAAATCAAAAATTCATCAGGAAAGATCTTATTTATTCAGAATTAATTTGTTTTAATGTCTGTTTTTTGTAATCTAGGAAATTCCGAAAATGTATAAAGTGCTATATGAGAACGATACTAAAGAAAATTGAGATGAAAAAAATTACCCTTGGAATAAATAAAGCTAAACACTATATTGCTTATAGACCATAACCCCCCTCCGCTATTTTTGTGGATCAAAAATCAAAAATTCATCGGTAAAGATCTTATTTATTCAGAATTAATTCGTTTTAATGTCTGTTTTTTTTTGTAATCTAAAATAGGAAATTCCGAAAATGTATAAAGTGCTATATAGGAACAATACTAAAGAAAATTGTGATGAAAAAAAATTAACTTTGGAATAAATAAAGCTAAACACTATATTGCTTATAGACCATAACCCCCCTCCGCTAATTTTGTGGATCAAGAATAAAAAATTCATCGGGAAAGATCTTATTTATTCAGAATTAATTCGTTTTAATGTCTGTTTTTTGTAATCTAAAATAGGAAATTCCGAAAATGTATAAAGTGCTATATGGGAACAACACTAAAGAAAATTGTGATGAAAAAAAATTAACTTTGGAATAAATAAAGCTAAACACTATATTGCTTATAGACCATAACCCCCCTCCGCTAATTTTGTGGATCAAGAATAAAAAATTCATCGGGAAAGATCTTATTTATTCAGAATTAATTCGTTTTAATGTCTGTTTTNGTTCTGGGTCTGAAAGATATCCCAATATTCTGGAGAGTTTTATCAAGTTCTTCGGCTTTTCCTTATGGAAATTTTGATTTTTATTTGCTGCTAAGAAAATGGCGTCTGATTCTGCAAATGATTTTGATGGAACTAAATAAAAACGTGATAAATAAATGTCTGATATTTACAGGCTCCCGCTAGAGGGCGTACTCGAGCGTTGCAATCGCGAATTAATTCGTTTTAATGTCTGTTTTTTGTAATCTAAAATATCGTTTGCGCAAATTAATTAGCATTTTTAAGGTTCGACTCACGAACAGTTGACATTAAATCGTTATAAATGAAATTTGTATAATTAGGCCAAAAGTCACTTTTTAATTTGAGCATTCTGTATGAAAGTTAAAAGAGGAGAGAAATATCCTCAATCACCGCGTATCGGAGATTACCGGGTAAAAACTTATAGATCCTGATGGATGGCACAATCCTGATATCTATCACAGATATCATCTATGTCTCACAGATATCCTGATATGAAGCATCTATCAAAATCCTGATAGATAGATGATGTGTAGAAGATGGCACAATCTTATTATTTGTAACTATACACTAATTTGTTATGAAGTTTATGACTAAAACCAAAAAAGTAGGATTGCTGTTATTAGAAAAAAAAGTCTACCTGAAAAGTTTTTCACTGCGTAAGTCAGGACGAAAGGAAAAGATGCTTGAGCTCTGTCCACATCATAACGTGTTACGGATTCCACAAAATAAATCGAAGAAAGTCTACCTGCACCAGATATCAAAAAATCTACTACGAAACAGCCAATCAGTATTTTGCAGTTGTTAATTATATCTGCTCTCATGCTGTCTGATCTGCAACAGATTTAAAGCACATCAATTTAAATATCTCCCTTAGCTTGAAGTTCACAGTAGAAACATTAATCAATATTTAGAAATGTATATAATTATTATTTATATAATTATAATTAGGGTAATTTTATTTTATTACCGACATTATCCGTGACCTTGTAATTTTGAACCCAACCCTGTAGAAAACAGAACTCCTGGATCAAGCATTGGGACAAACTTGGAGGACTTTTTGATGGTACTAACACACATTTGTGTTATATGGAAAAGAAAACCAAACGAAAACCTCCCACGATTAGCTTAATGGCAAGGAGATTTTAATTTATGATCCGTCAACCACTGAGGATATTTTACGGCACCACTGTGGTCGGTGCGAGTCGGGAGTAAAATTCTTATTAACCAGTCACAGCTGGGACTGGAACCTGGGTCATCTCATTGGGAAAAGAACGCTCTATTTTTCTGAAGGTAATTTAATTTTATTTTATAACCGTCGTTGAACAGCTGACCCAATTTTAGGTTTACGACTAGTAATGTTCAACTCCGTAGCCTTGTAGTTTTAAACCCAATCCAAAAGACAGAGGACAATTCAGAATGAAGTGTTAGGAAAAATTGCCTTTCGTGGAGGACATTTTGATGGAACTAACCCGTATTCGCATTACATGGAGAGGAAAACTATTAGAAAATGTGCGAAAATTTAATCAATCTATCTAAATTTATTAAGGTTCATTGTAATAAGGCTTGTCCACTGGAGCTTTAGATAAAGAATCGGTGTTAGTTTTGATTGTAACTTATTTCTTTTGTTTGAATGTTTTTCAATAAGACTTTGCTAGGCTCGTTGCATTAAGGTTTAACTTCTGAAACTAAGGTTAACTTGAAATAAATTAGGTTAATTTAACAAAGATAATATTTTCTAATTATTCGAAAGATAAATGGACTCATTGAAATAAGTGCAAATATTGTCAGGCTGAATCTAAAATAGTGGAGCCTTCTAATTAGTCTTGTGTATCAAAAAATGCTAGATATTTTAATTTTCTTACGACTTACATCGCCATACATTATCATCTGATAGAAGAAGATAACTTTAAATGTAACTAAAATAATGAAGCATTCATTTTGGATTGATAGATAACGTTAACCAACAAAATAATTTTAAAAACTAAATTAATTACTCTCAATTAATTGAATATACTGAGCTGAACACAAATACGATCATAAAAATCTCTGATATCTTCAGTTTTTAACAAAAAAAGGTCACTCACGTAAAAGAATCGAACTTCAGTAGAATCACGGAAATTGATATATTTTTTTTTTAAATCATTTCTTACCTTTTTCTTTAGATCTTTTTTTTCTTCTTTTGTTTTAGTTTTTGTTTTTTGTTTTTTTTATATATATATTTGGAAATTTACGAAAATTGACACAGCTCAAAATGGGTTTTTACGAAAAGGTACACAGCTCAAAATGTGTATTTGCGAAAATGAACACAGTTCAAAATGCGCTTTTACGAAAATGGACACAGCTTGAAGTGCGTGCTTACGAAAATGGAGATAGCTCGAAATGCGTGTTTACAGAAAAGAAAATAGCTAAAAATACGTGTTTACAGAAATAAACAATGCTTAAAAATCATGTTTACGAAAATAGAGATAGCTCAAAATGCGTTTTTACGAAAATGGACGCAGAAAAAAAAGGCTTCTTTTAAATGTTCAACCCTAATTTAACAACTAGGCGAGGAATTTTTTACATATTTTCTCCATCTTATTTAAACACATGATTTTTAATCATTATCATTATGGGACAAGGTCCTAGAGATCGGGGTCGGGATGTCTAGGTATTTCACAGTTATAACTTTACATGCAATATCTTCATGTTAAAAACTCTAAAAGTTGAAATTGAATTTTGAAAGTCTAAATTCTTACATCATAAATTTACTGCCACTACTATAAATTTATGAAACTCATTGCAAAAATTATTACAAAATCATTGCAAAAATTATTACAAAATCATTGCAAAAATTATTACAGGTTTGAGGCGTAGCTGTCCAGATAAAATTGTTCTGTTTGAGTCTGACCTCCAGCCGTTATACATGAGAAGGAACTCCAGTCTCAAGAAATACTGCAATAAGCTCATCAGTTTTGGTGACCAGAACAGAACCTCTTCCTATCTCAAAAATTGGAAAAATAACCACAGACTGAAGAGAAACAGTCTCTTCTCTTTGGCTGCTTGTTACTCTTCAGGCTCGCAGCGGACTTTGGGGTACACTTCCAGTGGATTCCATCACACGTTGGAACCAAAGGTAACGAGATAGCGGACTCACTGGCTAAAGATGCTTCTTTGGAACCTTTACAGCCAGATTCACCTTCCACTTTCAATGAGGTCTTTGCAAAGTGCAAAAAAAATTTTATGGACCTCTGGAGGGTTCCTCCTCCGCATAGTTGGTATTTCAGAAAACGAGCTGGAAGTGCCTTGCTTTTTGAGGGACCTAGAAGCCAGCAGACTTGTTTATCTCGCTTTGCAAGTGATCACTTGAGGTGTCACTCGTATGTTCAGGGGCAAAAGACTTTTGAACTTTGCACTAAATGTAGGACTGCTCCGGCTTCGCCCGAGCATATTCTAAACTGTATCGATTTTAAGATCGACGATGTTTTTCCAAAAACCTCATCTGTTTTTAGACTTTCTGGACATTTTTGAACTTATGGATTTGGTCTAATTGGGATGGACCTCTTGGGGATCAGAAACAACAACAACAAACTCATAGCAACCTTGTAAGAGCAACTGTTGACTTTTAAAGTATTTTAAAAAATAGACTAATTTAATAAAATGTACCAAGTGATTTACTTAAATAGACGATATCATATTACGAATTTATTAGTTTATTCTTTAAATATAAAGGAACAATACTCATAAAAAAAGTTCGAAAAACGTAATCAATTACTATGCTTATTTTATTAAAGAGAATTTCAAGCTGTGTCCATTTCCTTAAACACGCATTTTGAGCTGTATTTATTTTTGTAAACACGTATTTTGAGCTGTTTCCAGAATAAAAAACTCACCGACATCATAGTACTGCGCATTTTGCGCATGCAATATATTAAAACGATTTCCCTGAAATATAATTTTTTTCACGCATTAGTAAGTTTAGCAAAACTTTTGGGATGAGAATAATAATTAGTGAATAACAAAAAATTTGTTTTCAATTGCCAAAAAAATAGTAATAAACCTAATAAAATCGCAAAATTGTTTTCCAATTTTAAAAAAAATACTTACCTCAAGGTGTAGAGATTGTAAACTAACAATTAGGCTACAATGGTCATTTAATACATTTTTTTTTGAAAAGTAAGAAAGATTTCAAGGGAGCATCCTACATAAAACAACTCTTTGCATGAAGTGACTTTCGTAATAAGCATTATAAAAGAAGTGAAATTACCTTCAATATCTTAAAACATACTACATCATCGTAAAGATAAAAAAAAGTGATAATTCCATTTTTTATTTTAATAAAAAAATATCTTTATTTTATGGTGGAACGAATGTTCAGGAAAATAGGAATTTTCTGAAGTTTCTTGATCATTAAGGAGATTAATAATATTAGATATGATTTGCAAAATGCTCGAATTATTATGCATTGTAATTACAATGATTCTGCAAATTTCAAGCTAAGTCTTGATGTAATTGGGCAAGTAAAAATAACTCAGCGCTCGTGTATTCGTTTAGATAGTTTCACTCAAAATTATTTCAAATTTTAATTATATATTTCTTATTATTGAGTGCTGACCAAATTATTTTGAATTGTATAATGTTCCTTTTTTTTCTTTTTACATATTTTCAGATGAAGACACCTAAAATCTTAATGAATTCCTTTTTAAATTAAATAGTTCCTGAGAAAAAAGTAAGTTAAAAGTAAAACTTCTTTGAATTTGTATGCTTCAGAAATTTTTCTTTCGATTTCTGATGAATTCTAGAAGTCAACATTTTAAACTACGTCAAGAGGATATAAGAAGTTTACAAACAAATCAAAAACTGTGCATAATTGTGAAGTTAAACTTGAGAATGCGTAACTTAACTGTTCAATTACTTAACTGTTAAAAATTTAATATTAAAAAACCGAAACTTTTGACTGAACCTTTATTCCATACGCTCTCAGAAATAAAACTCTCACATTTGACGATTCAGAAATCTTTGAGCTGTATTTCGTTAATGTTGAGAATCATTTCGTTACGAAATCACGTGATTTCTAACGAAATGCGAACTCTCAAATATACGACGAAACTTTTTCCTCGACTCGGAACCTCATTACAGTGCATTGTGGGAGATTGTTAGCGAAAATGAGGACTAGACGATCGAAACTAGATTCACGAAATATGCCGACTGGTCAAGTAGGTGGCCTCATACCAGGATAATCCCGGGTTGGAGTCCCGCTTGGACATGGATGTAATTAACCTCTCTATTCCTTGCGTTGTTGAAGCGACGTTGATCTATCTATATGGTGCCAGTGCCGTAGCGAGCTTAACTCGCGCCCGGGGCACAATACCTTTTAAGCGCCCCCCCCCCCCATTCGAAAACCATCTAATATTATAAGTGAAATATTCTCGCAAAGTAGTCAATAAATAAAGTAAAATAAATAAAGTCATATGCTCAAGCTAGGCATTAAATTTGAGACAAAAAATGTAGTTGAGAAAACAAGACTAGATTTTGAAATGTATATGATCATCTAGAATTAGTTCAAAAGATACCTATTATTTATCTTACATATTTATAAAGAAATATTTTAAAAACACGCAGCTTTAAAATAATAAAAAAGTAAATATTTATTATCTCTAAGGAGATACATATNGACAATGTTTACAGGAGGATCGTGTCAAACATTGATGACCTAAAAGCCAGAATTACAACCGCAATAGCCTCTGTGGATGCCGACATGCTTGCCGCTACCTGGCGTGAAATTGATTTCCTTGGGGAGTAAATCAAATTACATGACTTTATATTATATACCACTAAATTCCAAAAAATTTTCTGAAAATGCAGTCATAAGTTTCCTTTTGTGAAAAGGAAGCCAGACAGGTAGAGGACACTTAATGCAATTTTTTTTAAAGAATGTGCATTATTGAATATTTTATTTTTGTGATAAATGTTTACTACCCGAGTCCATATCTTTAAAATTGTATCTTATTATTAAATAACTTCAGACCTAAAACTTTTTTTTAAAAAAAAAAGGCAGTTATAGTGTAATCTGGTGAAAATGTGGCATAATATATAATGAAGCAATAGAGAATTCAAAAATTTATTAAAACCAAATTGCATCTTGGAACTTATTTTTGGGGAAAGTTATTTTCTACTAATGACCATTTTTGAAACATTATCTTAAATTTTTCTAAGACTGTCAAACAAACAAAAATAGTTCATTTAGAAAAAGTGACGTTTAAAAGAAGAAAATTAATACTTAAAAAATTTATGGAAGCGATTTGCCCCAGGAAGCATAACATGGTTTTTCTGAGGAAATTAAAAAAATAAGTCATAGTTTAAGTGCCTTACACTTGAATCAAAGCTATAATTTTAAAACTATACATCCTGTCCTGCTGTATAGAATTATCTGGACATTAGAACAGAAAAGAACTAAAATATTTTAAGTTATTTAACTAGATGAAAATTATCAAAATCAACACTTTATTCTCATTTTTTCAAATTTTTATAAGCCTGGATAATGCAGCATTGAAGTAAAAAACTAGACCACAAACGTTTTTCATTTTCTAAAAACTGTGACTTTTCTCCAAGTACTGAAGTTTTATGATAAGTTTTGCGCCATTTTCAAAATAAACATAGAGGAAGCTGGTTGAAGATAAGCTAAATAAGAAATATATATATATAGTTTTAAAAAAAATTAAACAATGGAACATTTTATTTTTTAAGAAAAACACTTTTCACTCGTGACCCCTTTAAAATGGTAAATTACACTTTTCCATCTGGATTGCATTTTTTTTAAAGAAAGGTAGCCAAAAATAAATGTTTCATCATCATAGTTGGCCAGACAACCCAATGTAAGTCAATGCCTTCCTCTGAAGATTTCTCCATGACGACTTCCGATTTATCTTTGATCTCCAATTCGTTTCATTAATTGCAAGAAAATCAGACTCCACTGAGTCAGCCCATCTCAACCGCCGTCTTTCCTGCTTTCTTGTTCCAGTGGGACTAAACAGTAGTATCTTTTTTACTGTATTGTCATTGCTCATTCGAATCATGTGGGCCATCCAATTCATTCTATTTATTTTTATGTATTTGACTTATTTTTATGTATGTATCTACTCGTGCTACCACTTTTTCCTCTTCTTTTGAAAAAATTAACTGTCTTTTTAAAAGGTTAACAAATGGGTTAAAAAAAAAGACTTGCACTGCTTAACACTTCTTTTTTTTTGTGCACTTAATCTAAAAAAAATGCGACCAGTGTATTTTATACTTAAGTCCATCTTAAAAATAGAACCTTACACTTTGTTTCTGTGATGTAAATTTTACAAAAAAAAAATGGCAGTCTTTGATAAGTGATTTATTTGATATTTGATGCAAAATAGTTAACTTAATATGCAGGGTGTTTATAAATTCCCGGACCTATTTTGATGTTTAATAACTTATAAAATAATGAAGATATAAACAAACTTATGGCATTTATTTATGGAATAACTCATACATTTTCCTTTTCAGGTTCGAATATCTTTACTTTTGTAAATATCGTCTGCGCGTGTGGTTAATTTCAGATAATTTCATTTTCCAGTCTAAATATCTGTACTTTTCTAAATATCGTCTGCTTATTAATTGCATTTTTCTCTCTTTTGTTTTTGGCAACTATTGCAATGTTATGTTTACTTTTGATGTGTTTGTTCTATGTAGTACTTTTCTATGTGATGTTTTATTCGAGCGGATATTAAGGAGAATGCATACACCACAAGAGAAAGCACAGATTTTATGGTGGTTCATTGAAACGAAATCGATAGTGCAAGCACAGAGAAATTGCAGAAGAATTTACCAAAAAGATCCTCCATCCAAAAGCAGCATCTTGCGGTGGAAAAAGAATTTTCTAGAAACTGGAAGTACCGCAGATAAGAAATGTTCCGGACGTCCCTGCACAAGTGATTTTGACGTTGAGCGCGCCAGACCAACATTTTTAGAAAATCTTAGAAGATCTGTGAGATCAGCGGCAAGAGAATTGGATATGCCAATTTCGACGGAGTACAAGGTTATTAAGAAACAATTAAGACTGCATGCATACAAAGTTCATATTGTTCAAGGTTTGGAACCGAACGATAGGCCTAAGAGGATAGCGTTCGCAACAGATATGGTAGGAAGGATAGAAGATGATTCTGATTTTCTGAAGCGCATAATGTTCTCCGACGAAGCATCCTTTCATGTTTCTGGCATTGTTAATCACCATAATGTGCGCGTATGGGGATCTGAAAACCCCCATGAATACCGCGAGACACAAAGGGATTCCCTAAAGGTTAATGTGTAGTGTGGACTAATGCACGAACGAGTCATTGGGCCATTTTTCTTTTTTTTACAGCAAAGACGGTCTCATCAGTCGTATACTTAGACATGTTGGAAAACTTCGTATTTCCATAACTAGAAGAGCTTCAGTCACATGTCTTTTTGCAACAAGATGGTGCACCACCTCATTGGGGTATCATCGCTCGTAGTTCTTTGAATTGTGGGGAGAGGAGTATTAGACCATGTCAACTGTCATCTATGAAAAGGTACCCCGACATAGAGTCGAGTTAACATGTCTTATATACTAGTGAATTNCTTTGGGGATTTATAAAGGACAATGATTACAGGAGGACCGTGTCGATCATTGATGACCTAAATGCAGTGGCGTACCTAGAACTTTTACCGCCCGGGGCGATCTCCAGTTTGCCGCCCTTTCTATTATAAGTCAATCAAATAGTGGTTTTTATAAATTAATACACATAAATAAATAAATAAGTTATTTAATCAATATTAATTAATACACAGAGTAATTTTTTTTAGACATATTTGTATGCACTCGTAAACATATTTATATAATATCTACTCTTCTAGCTTTCATACTAGAAAAATCGTGTATAATGCTCTCAAAATTTATATTATTTGTAATTTCTTGTTCTATTGACAATATTGCAAGATTTTGTAGTCTTAATTGACTCATTGTAGAACGAAGATAATTTTTTATCAACTTCAATTTTGAGAAGCTTCTTTCGCAACTAGCGACACTGATTGAAATTGTTAAAAAAATTCTTAACAAAATTACAATGTTGGGAACAGAATTTTCCAACCTATACTGCTGAATAAATTTTAGCAGATCAAGAGGGCCCTTCTCCCCGTTTTTCCAATGTTTTGCCTCTTCTTTTAGTGTAGGTACAGCCATAAAAACCTGGATCCTTTTTCTTTCAATATGGAACTGTTCTTTATCAATGTCAATCAAGTCATTTATTTGACATTCAAATTCTTCATTTAGTAGGTTACACGGTATTATACACGAATATTTTCTTACAAGGCCATGCAACTGATCGAAGCGTTCTTTTATTTCCTTTATAATTCTGTCCATAGATGAAAACATTTCTCTTCGTACTTCTTCTTCTAAGGATAGCCCCACGTCTCGCGAATTTTCCCCACTCATATTTTTTCTCCTTCTAACTCGACGCTCAGTCGATATCTCCAACTCTTCACAAATTATTTTGGCTGCTATAACAGCGTTTTGTACTAGCGTATCTCTTTGTTCCATGAAATGTGTTTGCAAAGAATTTAGTTTTATATGGCATTGGTGGACATTTAACCCTTTTATTTGCAGGTATTTTTGAGCGTCATTAATTTCCAAAAGGACGGGTTCCCATAAATGAAGGTAACATAGAAAAGAAAAAGATTGCATAGAATTGAGTAATACTCCAGCATCTGATCTCGTTTTACTATTTTCTTCTTCAGATGTCAATTTTTCCAAAGCGCTTAAAATGTAAAAAAAATGNTGCTCCAGTATTTTTAGTCTGTATTTCCTCCCTTCTCTTCCTTTTCTTTCTAAATGACGCACCACTTTCTTTTACTCGTTTCATCCTAGGGATATATAATAAAAATATAACTTGTCGAAATAAATAGTATATTATGTATAGAAAACGGCAAAGTCATTTTACTACTCTGAATAGCATTTAGAATAACATCTATATCTATAATACGTAATATAATATACTTACCTATAATAAACTCTCCAAATGCACTGGCACCCTAATAATTTGTTTCACTCTTCACTGTTAAAAGATTGAATCGCGAATGAACAAAATGGTTTATAAGCAATTTATCATTCCAAATACAATTCTTCAAAACGGACTGAGTATATTTATCTATTTGCGATTCCTGAAATTGTAACTTCGTCAGTATTTTTGTTTTGTCTCGTTTAGATTTTGTTGTTTGAAAAAGATAGTTCTTATGCCGGCGCCCTAATGCTTTGCAGACCTAGCAGACCGGCGGTCTGCTAGGTCTTCCGCCTTCCCGCCTAGACCGCCTTCCGCCGGCCCTGCTTTTCAAAAGAAAAATCGATGATTTAAAAAAATATTGATATATCACTTCAAAGTAATCATATAAACTTTTCAAAAGAAATGACATTTATAAACTGATATCAAAAAATTTTAGTTAGGAAAAATTGCCGAACAAAATCGTAAAGATCCTTTTACGAATTCAACGAATTTTAATGAATACAATAAAATAAAATTATCTTGTTCTTGAATTAGAATTCAAAATTTACACTAAAATGCATTTATATACACCGAGGAATAATATTCGAAATCATATAGCTAATCATATTTTATATAAACCAAATATTAAACTTATAATAATCATAATAATCATTTATTATTCAAGAAAGAAAATAAATATGAAATGAATAAGTTGCTTTTTACAACTATAAGTAAATACAAAAAATGCCGCCCCAAGGTAAGTGCCGCCCGGTGCGGACCGCACCCACCGCCCCCCCCCTAGGTACGCCACTGCCTAAATGCTAGAATTGCAACCGCAATAGCCTCTGTGGATGCAGACATTCTTGCCGCTACCTGGCGTGAAATTGATTATCGACTTGATATTCTCCGTGCGACGACGGGGACACACGTGGAAGTTCATTGACAAGGGTCATGAAACTTTTTGAGTCCATCTAACCATTTATGTTATTAATTTTAATCTATCTTTATTATTTTATGAGTTATTAAACATCAAAATGGGTTCGGGACTTTATAAACACCCTGCATATTAAAAAAAAAAAATAATCAATTTATATAGGCTGATTACGAATCTGGACGGGGCATGATTTTATGCAAAAGAATTTAGAAATATAATTTTATTCAGTACTTAAAAGTTTAGTTACTGTTTAACCCCTGAAATTCGGAACAAGGCGTTTCTAACTTATGCACACGAATGTTCGCGAAAAGAGACGAAGCCGCGGAGCCCGAGTGTCGGAACTTAAAATACGATATCTTGTGACTAAGTGCAATAGAGCCGCCCTGGTGTTAACTTCACTCGATGGTGCTCTTGTGAATTTCAAACTTTTAAAAAGTATTTTAATTATTACAACAAATTCTTTATAACTAATAATATGATTATTAATAGCAAAAAACAAATAATTTGAAGCGAATCTACGGCAGTAATATTTGAATTGAAATAAATTTTCTTCAATGTTCAATCCAAATTGAACAACTGAACAAGGAATATCGTACTTGCATTTTCTTACTTATTTCAACACTAAGTATAATCATTATGGGCTAGGTATATTAAAAATTTAAATTTTTAGGTAATGTCTTCATATTGAGAACTCTAAAAGTAGAAATTGAATGTCTAAATTCCTATAACGCAAATTTATTGGAACTATTATAAATGTATAAGATTCGCGGCAATCTTGTAAAAACTACTATTCACTTTTTAAGTTTTTTTTTAAACAAATTTTTCATAAAGAAACTAATTTAATCAAATGCACCAAGTGATTTATGCTAAGGCGCTACATCATTTTACGAATTTATTAGTATTGATTAGCTTATTCTTAAAAAAAAAATACTCTTAATAGAAGTTTTGAAAAAATGGAATAAAATGCTATGTTCATTTTAGTAAACACGCATTTTGTACTGAGCCCATAATGAATTATGAATCGGCGCATTGTTTGTTTAGTACATATTTTGTATTACGTGAACAATTTTTATTTAACTAATTTATAGCAAAATATAAAAAAAATTTTAGAAATAAATTTTAAAGAAAAAACAACAGCATTTTTATATGTTTACCAAAAATAACACAGTATGCTTTTTGCTTTTCAAAAAAAAAAAAAAAAAAAAAAAAAAAAAAAAAAAAAAAANAAAAAAAAAAAAAAATATTGAATTTTAATCATGAAAGATAATTTTTATCCCTAATAATGTCACGCTGGTGTCTATGATTGATTTGCTTGCTACAATTGATGGAAGTAAGGATACATCATGGACATTTTTCATTTAGGTATATAATGCATGAAAGAGATTCAACCACGTTTTTAATATCCATGGCAAAAATTGTCATCTGGTAATACAGGGTGTTTATAAAGTCCCGGACCCATTTTGATGTTTAAAAACTCATAAAATAATAAAGATAGATTAAAATTAATAACATAAATGGTTAGATAGACTCAAAAAGTTTCATGACCCTTGTCAATGAACTTCCACGTGTGCCCCCTTCGTCGCACGGAGAATATCAAGTCGATAGTCAATTTCACGCCAGGTAGCGGCAAGCATGTCGGCATCCACAGAGGCTATTGCGGTTGTAATTCTGGCTTTTAGGTCATCAATGTTCGACACGATCCTCCTGTAAACATTGTCCTTTATAAATCCCCAAAGAAAAAAGTCCAGCGGCGTTATATCAGGTGATCTGGGTGGCCAAGGAATTGGACCTCCTCGCCCAATCCATCTTCCTGGAAAATGGTCATTCAAAGAACTACGAACGATGATACCCCAATGAGGTGGTGCACCATCTTGTTGCAAAAAGACATGTGGCTGAAGCTCTTCTAGTTGTGGAAATACGAAGTTTTCCAACATGTCTAAGTATACGACTGATGAGACCGTCTTTTCTGTAAAAAAGAAAGGCCCAATGACTCGGTCGTGCATTAGTCCACACTACACATTAACCTTTGGGGAATCCCTTTGTGTCTCACGGTATTCATGGGGGTTTTCAGATCCCCATATGCGCACATTATGGCGATTAACAATGCCAGAAACATGAAAGGATGCTTCGTCGGAGAATATTATGCGCTTCAGAAAATCAGCATCTTCTATCCTTCCTATATCCATATCTGTTGCAAACGCCGTCCTCCTAGGCCTATCGTTGAACAATTTGAACTTTGTATGCATGCAGTCTTAATTGTTTCTTAATAACCTTATACACCGTCGAAATTGGCATATCCAATTCTCTTGCTGCTGATCTCACAGATCTTCTAAGATTGTCTAAAAATGTCTGTCTGGCGCGCTCAACGTCAAAATCACTTGTGCAGGGACGTCCGGAACGTTTCTTACCTGCGATACTTCCAGTTTCTGGAGAATTATCTTTCTGCTTTTGGATGGAGGATCTTTTTGGTAAATTCTCCTGCAATTTCTCTGTGCCTGCACTATCGATTTCGTTTCTATGAACCACCATAAAATCTGTGCTTTCTCTTGAGGTGCATGCATTCTCCTTAATATCCGCTCGAATAAAACATCACATAGAAAAGTACTACATAGAAGCACATCAAAAGTAAACATAACATTGCAATAGTTGCCAAAAACAAAAGAGAGAAAAATGCAATTAATAAGCAGACGATATTTAGAAAAGTACAGATATTTAGACTGGAAAATGAAATTATCTGAAATTAACCACACGCGCAGACGATATTTACAAAAGTAAAGATATGCAAACCTGAAAAGGAAAATATATGAGTTATTCCATCAATAAATGCCATAAGTTTGTTTATATCTTCATTATTTTGTGAGTTATTAAACATCAAAATGGGACCGGAATTTATAAACACCCTATATATTTTGCATTATGTTGGAAAAGTTGAAAATGACATGCATATTTTTTCCCAAATAAGTAGCCCCCCATTCTAAACTACCACTTGTACTTCAAAAAAAAAAGTAGCATACAAAAAAAAAGCAGAATTTAAAAATATTGAGTGCTTTATTTATCTCATCACAGAGAAAATTAACATCAAGTGAAATGACAGCCAACACCAGAATGATACAGATTTTTTTTTTATAAGGATTTTTCATGCTTTATGAGTAGAACAAATAAGCCATATACACTAGCAACACAACCAAATAACAATAGAATGCATATTCTCTATGAATTATATTATACAAAATATATATCACTTCTCTAGTACAACATTAAGTTCTAAGTATGCATTTGCTGATTGGTATGTAACAAAATGAACAATACAAGATTAATTCATTTATGCATGATTGAACAGTAAAAATGAAACGAAATTGGCACGATTCATTTAATTACCCTTTAGATACAATGAAGGCATTGTCTTTGCATTTAACATAAAATATAATGTATTGTTTAATGGAACCAACATTTAATATCTGTAAAAAAATATTTAAAAAATAAAAATAAAATATATTTAATTCAAAAACATTTTCCTCGTCTAACTCCCAGAAATACTTTGGGCAGGGAACTAATAGCAAATTTTGATATAATCCCTTAGTCATCTTTAAATATAGAGAGTTTGGAGCAACATGATAGTCCACATTTTTTTGCAAAAATGACTAATTTAGACTGAAGTTTTCCTTAGTATTTTTTCCAGATTTACGAATTTTTAGAATTTTTCCCAAGACAACAGCTCAATGCACAGACATATCTTATAGCATACCAAAAACACTCTCCTAAACAATTTAAAAATGTGGCTCATTATATTGCCCCAAAATGGCATTATCTTAAAAAATTACCACCCCAACACAAAAATGTGTATTCTTTTTAACTACTCTTGAAACATGGACATTCTAATCTAATTTTATACAATTTGATTGAAAATATTTACTACTATAAACACATTATAACAAGTATAGGTTCTAATTGTAAAATAATCAAGAAAATGTCAGCAAAATTTTATTAAAAAAATTATAATAGAAGACAATGTCAAAAATATGCATCATAGTAAGAAACCTTAAAATATCTCATCTATGTGCAAAAGCTTTCACAAAAACAGACTGGACTATACTTTAAGACTTTCTTTACAGAAAGATCAGATTATAAATTTTTTATTCATAAAAAATTTTTTGAATCATCTTAATTTGAAATTAAATTTTTTTTAAACAGGACTTCAGAGCTTGACCGAGATTGTCTGCAAGTTTAAAAAAAAAAAAAAAAGNAAAAAAAGCAGTAAAGAAGCGTGAGCGCGAAAATTCAACAACCAAATTGCATCAATGTTCCAATAAACATACATATATTTCAACTTAATATTTCTCCATTTATTATGTTGAGAGAAAGAATAAAAGTTTAGCAGGGTAATTTGTTGGATAGATCAAATTAACTTTTAAATCAGTTAAGTTTTCTTTGTGATCTTAATTTATAGTGAATATTAGCAGAATACAGCAGACTGCTACAATTGAATATTGCACTGATTGAAATAATGAATTCAACCTTTACCCATAAACAATTATAAAAATAAGGTTTTATTTGTTTAAAAGTTATTTAATAAAAGAATAAGATTTCTGAAAAACTGCTTTAAAATAAACTTTAACTTATGTTGTCAGAACTGGGTTCACACAGGATTTAGTTTCAATCTGTGTTGTCAAAACTAAATTTCAGAAAACAGCTTTAAATTTAGTTCCAACCTGTGCTGTCAAAAATTGATTTAAACAAGTATATCAATTACCAGGAAGTAAAAAATTTAAATTAGCACATAAAACTGCATTCTTAAAACCAGCTTTCTTCAAAAATTGAAAATACTAAGGAATAAGAATAAAAATTTAATATTTTTGCAGGTGTGAAATTGAAATAACCTTTTAATTAATTTTCTGATTTACTTAACCCACTAGGCATGTCAAATTTTAAAGATTTAGTACTAGTAGTGTTAATGTAATATCTAGCTTTGCATATTTAAAGAGAAACATAAGAAACTAGGTTAAAGGTACAGTTTAAGAAAGCTGTTCCGAAATTAGTAACTACTAAGAAATAATTCAAAACTCTCACTCATACTTTTAAGTTAAAACTAGCAAGCAATGTATTATTGCTTGAGATTAACATAGTTCATTATTTTAAATGTTTGAACAACCACCAATCTTATTTCCCTTCAATAAAAGGCAATTATATGTAGCTGCAAGCACTTAAATTACAAAAGCTAACTTTCTTTAATTTCAATTTGAATAGTTTATTCAAGAATTAGATGAGAAATTTAAGTTGGCATATAATAGATTTCAATAATATTTTCATTAATGTAATAGATATTAATGTGATTAATTTCAATATAAAAGTATCTCAATGATTCTAGCAACTAGTCTATTAATTGATGCTAAATAGAAGAAGCAACTGGAAGAGCTTAAATTCAAAAAAGGCAAAGTTCATTTTTTATAATTTTTAGAAAAACATGCATTTATTAATTTTACAGAAATAAACAGAGTACTGATTCATAAAAATAAATATTTAGTACATGACATGAAATTTCATTTCTAAAAGTATTAACCAGAAAAAAATTTTTGCCTGCCACTATTATAACACTAACAGATGAAGCACAAAAAAAATTTTTGCGTCTAAAACTATAAAAGAATGCAAAAACTGAAAAATGATGACACATTTATGACAAAATAATAAAAATATAAATTAAAACTAAGATTCCCCAAAGGACTGTGTCATTCACACATTATTAAAACTCAATAAAATAAGAAAAACTTCAGAAAGTTTAAATAATCGAAATACCATCTGGCAATTGCAACCCTAGTCTCTAACTCTGCAACTCAAAAATTTGCCAAATTGTGTACCTTACTCACTAGCCCTAAATATATGGGTCACCAATAGCAAGCTGGTGCAAAAATTCTGTGTCCTGATTTTTGTATATAGTAAAATTTCATAAAGTTGGAATAATAATTAAAAAAATAATAATAAAATGTAAACTAACTTTTTGTTACATTTGCCATATCCTCCGGAGAACCCTATTGCATTCTACAGGATGCTTTTTTGAAAATTTTATCTTATGTTTACTTAGTGCTTACCTCTTAAAAATGCAATTGGTTTAATCTTCAAAGACCAGAGTTTTGAAGCTAAGAAGAAAAAAAATGTCAAAAAATTTGAATTAGTTAAGAATTGTACAATTCAGCATATACATAATATTTCATTCTTATTCTGATGTTTGAGTTAAATGTACAGCAATGCATTTGAGTTAGTTAAGAATTGTACAATTCAGCATATACATAATATTTTATTCTTATTCTGATGTTTGAGTTAAATGTACAGCAATGCAAAGCATCAATTTACATTTCAGCTAGTTTTTTTATCCACTCAGTTGAGTTAATTTAACAATTAAATATTATCAAGTAAAATACAATCTCAACCATTGTTGGCAGTCTCAAGAGTATACAGGCTTTTTGAAGTTGAAAAACCCCATCAGGGCCAATTACTGAAATAAATTTAAAATTCAAAACTAGACTTGGACTAAAAAAAATTGATTGGACCAATACCGCAGCTAAGAAAAACAAAAAAAAATATTAAATATTTTTTTGGTCAGAAATTAAATGAATAAAAACCAATATAATGGACAAGTAGCTAGCGTCCATATACAGATAACTGGGCCAGTAGACTTTATCTTCCCTACAGCATTCAAGTTTATATGTGTGTAGTTATACTCATCCTATAAATGGGTTGAGGTCAAGTCATAGTACTTTGACGTGGGTTAAAAGCTAACATATTTATCGAAACCAAACTGCAAGATTTAGCAAAGAGGATGAAAGCAATGGCATGTGCAATGAAAGCAATGAAATCCATATGTCCAGTTTGAAAAATAAAATGAAAAAAGTTTTGTGGACACATTAAGAAAAGTATTTAACTTCAGTGTTATTTACCAAATTATTCTGACTAAGCCACTCTTAAATTTAAATACATACTTTGAACTAACAATCTAAGAACAGATCACATAAGAAACTAATTTAATGATTATTTGATGATAATCACAAAAAATAAATTGAAATTTAAGCTAGTTTAGTAGAAATAAATAGCTAAACATACAATATAGCATTCACTGTTTAAATACACATCTTATTCAAAAAGGTAAAATGATTCAAATCACACAACTTTTTAGAAACAAATTTTATTCAGAAATATTAAATGTATTGCATTTGATGAAAAAACTGTTTAACAATATGAGTCAGCTATTCGAATTATTAATCAGGAAGAAATATACTAATACTTTTCTTCAATAGCCTAACAGTCCTATCAAAATTACAACAGATTTTTAACACACATTTAACTATAAGCATATCTTTATACAATACAAAGCTTTCACAGTATCAATATCTCCAAATAAAAAAAAGAAAGCTAAAATTGATTAAATCATACTCAAATTTGTATCACAATGCAACATCGAATTTCGGCACATAACACAAGATATAGATTTATATACTAGTGGGGATAATATATATATACGAACATAAAATTTTAAAAACATCCACTTCATAAAAATCTAAAATAACATTTAATTACTGTCTTATCTGATTTGACAGATTTAACTGAAAAAATGAAAAATATGCAACAAAAAAATAAGTTAGAACAAAAGAATGTCATTGCAGCATGAAAAGCGTAGTTTTGTTAACATGAAAGGGGATAAATCACAAATTACAAATACACTCGATATTTAAAAAGTGCTAATTAAAACAAATAAATAAAACCATTTTCATTCTTAGAACAAAATAACCCAAGTTACATAAAAAATATGTGTGTCCTCATGACTATAAATGCGCAGTTTTATTAAATTCTTTATAAACTATGAAGTCACCAAAAATGAAATATTATTGAATGCCACAGTAAACTATTGTTATTTACAAGGAAATTAAGCTATTTTTTTAGGGAACACTGCTAAAAAGAATAAGCTGCAAACATTATAAAGCAGCATCTGTCAATATCTAACATGAAAAAATTTACACATGATTAACTCTGCAAATGTTTTCCCCCCATCCCCCCAATCCCTCATTGTTGTAGTCCCTTGTTTTATCCCTCCCCCCCTATTTAATCCCCAATTCCCCTATACTAGCTTTGTTATAGTTCCATATCTTGTGTTTCGTCATCCGAAAAGTCGCTCATAGAGCTTTCACTGCTCGACTGATCTTCCTCCTGTTCTCTGAGGGCTTCTTCAGTTGCGTACTTTTTGACATACTCTGGAAGAGAGGATTTAAAATCAGTTATATATGTGATAGACATTCGTTTTCACATTTCAGTTTAGAATAGTATTTGCCATTAGCAACAATATCACCACAGCTCCATTTGGGCTCAAAATTGGCACCATATGGGTCCTATATGAGCATACACTGGAGGGTCAATATTGTGTTGTCTAGATGTTTCAATATTGGTCATACATAGGGCCAATATCGGCCTTTATGGGGCCCATATTGCCTAATAATGAATACAAAATATGGAGTGAATCTGACAATTCCATATAGTGCCAATATTGGTTGTATAGTGGCTGTAAAATATTTGGGTGAATCAGACATTTCTATATACAGGGATGAGAGTAGTCAGAAAGTAAAAAAGAGGAAATCCAAGAATATATATATATAAACAAAAATTTGACAAAAAAAGTGCGATTTTTAAACTTGTAAACCATGTGATTATAAATCCCGATATGAGGCTTTTAAATCACGTGAATATGAAACTCTGCATCGAATTTAAAAAATGCGAACATACAAATCATGATGCGTAATTTTTAGATCAAGATGCATAATTTTAAAATCGCGAGATATTACAACGGCAAAAACGAATCACGATATTGGATTTTAAGCTACATAGGGTACATAGGGTAGCTACATAGGGTTTTAAAAGCTCGTAAATACAAATCGCGATATTGGTTTTTTAAATCTCGTAAATAAGAATCGCAATGTACAATATTTAAATGGCTTGAATAAGAATCGCAATGTTCAACTTTTAAATCAGGTAAATACGAAAATCGATGATTGATAATAAAATCGCGATTTTAAAAATTCAAAAATACAAAACACGATATTAGATTTTTAAATCTCGTAAATACGAGTCATAATGTACGATATTTAAAAAGCGTAAGTCAGAATTGCAATGCGCAACTTTTAAATCAGGTAAATACGAAAATCGNAGCTTTGTCTTAAATAGAAAAAAATTCTAATTGAATGAGCAAATAAATATTTTCAACGCAATTTCACCTCTATTTTTTTTTCGTTTTTTTTGTTTGCTTTCACTCCAGAATACAAGAAGCAGCGACGTCTAAATTACGAAAATACGAGCTATCCCGCTGACGGATAAAAAACACGGAAAATCTTATTTTCTGTGCCTGAAATCGGAGAAAAGGCAAATATAAGTAAACATTGCGGAAGGGTTAGCAGCTAGGACGTAGTTTGAATTTTCTGTTTTTCGTTGAAAATCGTAAATAAATATAATTATTTGACTTCAACGACTGAATTTTTTCTTTTAAAAAAAGGGGATATTTATAAATAAATAAAAAAAAAGAAACTTTTAGATAATCTGAGTTTTTGATAAAAAGGCTGAAATTCGAGAGACAAAAGCGAAAAAAATCTCATCCCTGTATAAAGGTCAACCAGTTTTATCCCAAGGAAATGATTTTTAGAGAAACTTCAGATGAAGGAATGAGGACTTCAATGATTTCGCTCCGCGGAAAATTCCTCATAAAATACTTTAACTTGTGCAAATAGCAATTTCAGCGGAAATTAGCGGAAAAAATGGAAAAATCTGAGAAAAAGCGGAAATCCGCGAATCCGCGGAAGAATCTCATCCCTGTATATATCAAATTCAATTTAAAGATATTTTCTAATTTACATAGTTTGTGAAATAAATTTTAAATTTGATTATAGCAATGATATATATTATATATATATACATACATATGCTCACTCAAAATGTAGAGAAAACATGGAAAAAAATTCCAAAATAATGAGAAAAGAAAATTATTAAAAAAATTAATAAAAGTTAATAAAAATTTGGGGGGGAGGATAGATATATCTTCATCAGCTCACACAATTATATCTACAAAAAGAGTGCTTTCTAATATTGTATTAATATAGCCAAAGCAAAATATGTCAATACATTAGTGTGAGGAACACTCAATATATATACATAATGATACCATACACTGATCCTACCATACCAAATCCTTTGGGTTGAAAAGGATGTGAAAAAGCTCCCACATAACTATTTGAAGAAGGATGAAACACTAAGGAGAATAATTTAACTATGTACAATATATTGTACCAAAATTCTGCTCATTTTAATTAAAATATTGATTGGCACAAATAGAAAAAAAATTCAGTACATTTATTGGTTTCAATTATTTGCACTATGTTTTTCAGTGCACTCATTTTGAGAATTTTGGTGTTGCTAACATGACCCTGGTGATAAATGTCAAATTTTATGCATTACATCTGAATTTTAGGAGAATATTTAAAATATAAAGAAACATTTATCACACTAGAAATTATGCAGAACAAAATATTAATATAATAATTGGAATTGTAATAACATTTAATTCATAAACAGTAAAAAATGAAGATTTAAATTTCTCGCAAAGAAGTTTTTTGTATAACATTGTGTAGAAACAGGTATGTGGCACATGAAAAGCAAACCTTTTTTCTTCCCTTATCCAAAAAGAATGTTCAACCTAAGGCTTTAACAGGAATTAAATTACCATTACAATGTGTATTTCTTATGTGATCCGCAAACATGCTTAAAATATATCCAATTTAATTGCTTTGTTTTAATTCAAAAATAAAATTTTATTACTCCTATTAGATATTATAACAATATTTTATCATCCTATGTGACACAATAAATATACATAAAAAACTGAAGATAAAATATATAAACCTTCAATTATTTTATTTTATTTTTATAAAACACTAATGCCAAATGTAAACTGAGGTAAAACCATACCTTGGTCTACATTTGGCAGTAGAATGTCAAATATTCTACACAATTTACAAACATACACTATTCCCACTTTAAAAATACTTAAATTATATTGCACAAAATAAAGATGAAATTAAAACTAATAGAATAAAAATAATCTTATTAATTTTTACAATTACTTCTAAAATTAAAATTTCTACACACTTAAAACTAATTATTAAAAATGATTATCAATTTAAATTAGCTCTTGAAATTTCGATACCGACGACAGTGATTGTAATACGGTGGAAATAGTTGATTGATGTTCCCATCATATGAATAGAACAGATAGAAAATAGTTTCATCATAACAGCTGAAGGACCAACTATTTTATTTTTCAATCTTTTCTTAGTTTAATGGTTTTTGCCAGATATAAAAATTTTTAAGCAAATAACAAAAAGTAGAAAATGCTTACATATCCCAAAACTAAAATGTTCAAAATACTCGACTTTATGATTCAAAAAGACATCAGTGATAAAAAAAAATTAGAGTTCAGATTAGATTTTAGAGACTAAGTTAAGTGGTCATGATAACAAATTACATTTCATTTCACTTTTACGTGAAAGATATTAACTCATTATAAATTGCAAATATTTGACGAATTATGAGAAAATTTGTAATAAAAATCAGTGTTCTCCCTAAGTGTTTTTAGAAGGGTGTTGCCCCTTTCCTACCCTTTCATGGAAATAAATGCACTGTCCTTGCAGTTTTTGTAAAAATGCTGTCCCCTTCTTTTCAGAAAAAAAATGCTGTTTTTATTTTAAGAAAAAGATTGCAGTAGCAGAAAAAAGGAAATTCATATAATCATAACTACTTAAAATTATTTTTAAGCTAACTTAATATAAAATATTTCTCACATTTATTTGAGTATTTTTAATTCTATTTTGAAAGGCATGAATCTAGCTAGATATAATTAATTAGCATGATTAGGGCAATTCAAAACTGAAGGTGTCTTTGTTTTTGAAAAATCCTCCTGCCCCTTTTTTATTTTTAGAGAGATCTCTAAAAAATAATATTCTTACTTATTAGTCAACTCTGTGTTTATATGTAACATACTTAGGAACATTCCTTCAATCAAGATAAAAATAAAAGTGGAAAAAAAAGTCATGGTTGTATGAAATTTACTTATAGAATTCTACACTACCAAACAACTATAACTTTTAGTAAGGAGGTTGAAGGCATATTGAATAATATACCTTAATATATTCAAATGAAAACATTAGGTACCTTGAACTTTTTTCTTGTACTCTTCTGGCTTATGTAAATACATTGCAGCAGCATCGCCATTTAAAGGATCAATCGGGTTAGGATAGGTTAGTAACTGAGGAAGGAAGGATTCAAAAATATTTGACAAATCTGAAATAAAACATTGATCTTTAGTAAAGGAGACACAAATATTAAAAAAAAAAAAAAATAACAACAAATACAATAAGAACAGAAAATTCATAAAATAAAATCTAGTTTATGTATATGAACTTACAATAGTGTCCCAGATTGAAACAATTCAAAGTTTGATATAGAATGCTGTGTGATAATTAAAAAGTGTTAAATTATAAGAATAAAAAGACTTTTTTAAAAAATATTCCAATGGTCAAATTATGTAGCCTAGTAAACACATTTTGTTAACCTAAGTTCATACTTGTTAAATACAATAAAGCATTTTTAATCACCAGACTGAAGTTACTACTTGAAACAAATATTTCAAAATTAAAATGTTGATGCTGTTTCATACCAAATTAGTTATGAAAATAAACAAAGTTAAGGGGTCACAGTACCCTTGCAACATTTTAAATAAAGGTATAATCATTAATTTTGTGGATGCTTTACTTGCTCATTTAACTTATAATCAATAATTTATCTTCAAAAAATAGTTGAACTGTTTATTATTTTTAAAATTTTAAAAAAATTGGAAAAATTCTAAATTTTTAAATCACTAAGGCTTTTTTATTTTAACATATTTTCAAAAAAAACTTTTTTTTAGTGCTTACAATATTCATAACAATTTTGTGCATTCATTTGTTGATATATGAATTAAAACATTTTTTACAGATTTTGTAAAAAAGTAGAAAAAAGGTTAAAAATTCCTATAAAATATATATAACATGCTGTGAAAATTGTAATACCTCATAAAAAGATTATTCTGTGTACTATTTAAATCAGTGTACTATACTTAAGATAAAAAAGTTTACTTCAAAGCTTTGTCTTAAATAGAAAAAAATTCCTAAGGGATTTAATTAAGATTAAAACACAAAATCATCATCTATGAGAAAAGGCATTTTAAAGTTTGTCTACTGATCAAGTTTCTGTTTTAGGGCAATCCAAAACCATTCATAACTTTTTTAAAAAATGTAGATAGAGAGACGGTTTTTTTTTTTTTTTCAGTGCATTTGAGAAATAGTTTGAAGTTTTACTGCAAACAATAAAAAAATATAGATATTTTGGTCATTTTTTTGGCTACTGTGACCCCGTAAAAGATATAATCAGATATGGATAAATATGCTTCAGTCTAAGTAAAGCTAATAATAGCTAAACAAACTAAAGACAAAAAAGAACCTAAATACTGAAAACAAGAAAAGAAATTGTGTCAATCATTTAAAAGAAATTTTTTTAAAAAAAAAATATATATATAAACAAATGCAAATAAAAATTTTACTTTTTAATAATATTTAAAAACTATTCAATCGTGATCCAAATACAAAAAAAGAAACTCTAACATTTAAAAAAAAAAACAAGAAAAGTGACCAAAGCCCCCCATTAGTAAAAATTATGTAACTTGAAACAAAAGAAACCCCATAACCCCTATAGTTTCTCAGAAGAATATTTACTCCACCTCCTTCCAGCTGAGAAATATAAGCAAGATTCTTCAATAAAATAACATTTAATAAAAATATCTTTCATTTCAAGAGAAACAAATTTCAGAAATCCATTTAAAATACGGTCTTTAGTCAAACTCAATCTATTTTATTATTATATTTGAAAAATTAAAGAACCATTACTGGATATAGAATTCGAAATATTAAGTTTATTTTTCAATCTCCAAAATGACAAAAAAGAATCATTCATAAAACCCACATTTATAGAACTGCAATTCTCAAAAATTTGCAAAGCTGAGTAAAAAATTTATATAGATCTCAAAAATTATTTACTGTTATAAGAAATCCTATTCAACTGCATATGGTCAATTTCAATAATTTTACTTGATATAATAATTCAAAACACAATAACTGAAATGTTATAAAGCATTATTTTAATTCAATTTTTATTTCCTATCATTATTTTTTAAATCATATTATCAGTACTCTTTTTACATATTTTTTTTTAAATTAATATCTTTCAAAACTGGAAAAAAAAATTATCCATCTATCAAAAAATTAGATTAATTATAAAAAATAATCCTCTAATTATAAAAATAATTAGAGGAAACAATTTCAAGCAACAATTAAACTCTTGCAATAACCAAAACAGCGACAATTCTAAGAGTCAAAACAAATTGTTTCAGCATATGAGAAAGGGACTCTAAACATATGAGCATATAAGTTGACATTTTTGGTAATCTGCATTGTTAGCATTGACAGTACCAGTATTGGACTATTGAAATTCAGAATTTGTGAGAAATAAGTATATACTACTAAAGATATCTAAGCTAAAAATTAAAAGAAATACACTGATAAAGAAAACAGTTAAACAGGGTGTGTTAACAAATTTTTCAACAAAAAATAAGCACATTTTAAGCGCTCTAATATTTGTAAGCACTTTTAAAAAATAGAACAACAATAAATTTTTTCCCGCATTCCACATTAAATGAAAGTTTTTCTTATAAATTGCATATTTCAGGGACATTTTTTACTAAATCATGATAAGTAAATTATTCTTAATTTTATTTGCCACCAAAAAAACCTTTTATGCTAAATTTTAAAAATATATTTAATGTTGAGTTTTTATTATATTTTATTATTTTCATTAGACTAATAATTACTTGAAAAAAACAGTAATTTTATCTTAAAATTACAGTTAGATACTTAAATTTCAAAAAAGTTATTGGATGTATTTTTCAGAACTAAATAAAAAAATTTTATTGGTGTATACTAAATAAAAGCATTTATAACACTAATATTTTTGATCTTAAGGAATTGTTAAAGACTTGTAGAAAGTAAGCGAACTAAGATAACCTAAATGAATTCATATTATAAATGAAGATTAGTGAATGACACCAATTAAATTCTTCTTACAATCTGTAATTTAGTTCAATGCATTATTAAATCAAATAAAAATAATTTCAATAATTTTAAAATGAAAATTCAGTGAGCAATGCAGCAAAATATTTTTGTTAGAAGTAAATTATTATACAGTCCCCTATTTAATATATGCAAGATTAAATTGCCAGTTTCAAACATTTTTAAATCAAATAATAAAAAGATTACTATTTTTTCTGACAAATATGAATCACATAAAATTTCCTACTACATTTTCTAAACATTAAAAAATTGAAGTGATTCCTAAAATCATACTTTTTTTAAAATCTTGCCTCTAATAAGTTTTGAATTTATAAAAAAAAAATTTCCATAAAATAACACTGAAGTGCTGAAAATTTAAACAAATCCAGAAAAATATCACTACAATAAAAAGCTCAAAATACTTAATACAAAAGTGGATGGTCTCTCAGACACAACCTCCATCTATTATAATAATGTAATAAATTTTTATCCTAATTAAATCAAATGAATAAAAGGGAGACTAAAATTTTGAAGTGATGAAGCTGTGTTTTTTTTACTGCTCTTGACCCGCATGAAAATATTTAAATACTGAACGATCGATCTGCAATTAGAGTTTAAAGATTGTGGTACTTATCTAAAAACAGAACAGTGCAATAATGTGATGGGCTTTCCTATGAGGTATAACTCTTCATCAACGAAGAAATAATTAGGAAAAGAAAACAAACTTTTATTTTGATGTTAAGAAATTCGAGAGATATTCTATTCGATTTTAAAGGGCGAGAGACAATGCCTGAAGTAAAGAGTTTCTCACAAAATTCAACGAGATGAACGCCTATGATTACAGGATTCTTTTGATTATGCCGAGACTACAGGATTCTTTTGATTATGCCGAGACTACGGGATTCTTTTTTTAAAAAAACTGGCTCAGTGTACAAGCAAATTTATTAAGCCCTCGAGTTGTTCATTCAACATGTAAAACAATAAGCACTTCACAACTGTGATAACCACTCTTTTTGCACTATTCATAGTAACAATTGTCATAGCAAAGAAAAACATTTCCTTTTAGAAAAAAGAAAATAAAGTATTTTTTTACAAACTATCAAAAATCAGCACCTTTAAGGACTTTTAAAAACGAAAACCAAAAATAAACTTTTTAAAAATCTACATGCTAAAACAATATAAACATGCTTCCAGAACAACAATTTTTTTTAAAAAAAAGATTAAAACTAATTTACAGTCTAGTATAATTTTCGATAGATCTAAGTTTTTTGGTCAGTCCCATCAAAGATTCCAATTATCATGAAGATTGAACTGAAGATAGAAATTTTCATGCATGATGTAAATGCCATCGGAACATATTTCAAGATAAATGCTTAGAAATAAAACTAACTAAAAATAAAAATACTAAACATTTTTTTAAGGAGAAAATTAAAATAACAAAATATTTATTTTTTCAGCCTCCTTTTCAGAATTTTACAAAAAATATACATGTTTAATTTTATTGTCAGACAATTACTGAGGGAGAAAAAACATAGTTAAACATATATTGACTATCGAACAAGTAAACTTAAAGCTGCAAAAAATCTAAAATTAAATGCGCTGGCTTTATCAACTGTGTATTGCAGATTGAGATTTCTAAAATTAATAAAACTATAATTTCATATGTGGGTAAACCATATGCAAAAACAAGCATACAAATTTAAAGACTTAACATAGAACTTATAATTTTAACAGCATTTCAAAAAAAATTTTAAAATAATTTTAACCCAGATTCAGAAAGGAAATCATATTTAGCAATTTAATTTAACAACCCTGGTGTAAGATAATATCTGAAGCTCCTTGGGTAATAGTTCATGAAAAAATTTCTTTTATTAAAATCAAAACAAATATTTGCACTTACTTAAAGTTAACTAGTTATTTCCCACTGAAAATCCCAATTTTCATTCAGGAAAAAATGAGAAAGTAGAATAATTTTCTGGTAACATTGTATTAAAAACACCCAGACTAAATTCTGAATGTTATTAACCTTAAATGTTACACCTTTTAGCCTCATTAGATAGTCTTGCTACAAAAGGGAAAAATTATCACATCATTAATTAACAATTAAATATAGTACAAAGAACTAAAAAAATCTCAGACTCAAATTCATGTTTCATTTAAATCAGAGGCTCCCAACGAACAATATGTGTATTACTGGTGGTATCTGGGAAAGCTCACGGTACTTAAAAGGAAAACAATAACCTTTAGTCAAATATATTTTTATCAAATAAAACTGATTTATGTTTGAATTTGAAGTTTGTTTTTTAAGAGGATGTTATACCAAACAGAAACGACAAATTCTGTTTTACCTACATTGGTAATTTAAAGTATAAATAAATAAAGTAATATAACCAGTAAAAAAGTAAAGGTAACCAGGTAAACCATAAAATTTCAAATGCTGATTTTTTTTCTTCAAAATATCGAAATGAAAAAGAATAATAGAATAATTTCTTTTCTATAGAATCCTACCATAATTTCCTTGCATTTTGGTACCTAAAAAATTCAGCATTTGATACTTCATAGTTTACTTTTGATTTATTCTATACTTTTTTCGTCACTTTTTTCTATACTTTAAATTACATAAATAGGTAAAACAGATTTTGCGATTAAGCGTTTCTCCAGCGGTATAGTGTTCACTTAATGTTATTTTTATTGTAATCCCTGCTAGGTTTTCCCTGCAAATGGAAAGAAGTGTGCCATTTATAGTCTGTTTTCTTTTCTTTTTTTTTATTTCTTCCTTTTTTATCAATGACATGTATAATGTCAAACATTCTGCAACTAATTAAATTTAATTTAACCAATAACACACTATTGGATAAAAATTGACAATATTTTTTCATTTTTTAAGATTCAGTAAAAGTTTATCTCAAAGATTTATCTAAATCTATGACCAGACGATTTCAGATACAAAAATTTCTACTGTAGTTCTCTTAAGATTTTTTTTTTCTTTTTTATAATAATTTTCTAAATGTTATTTTCTATCATTTTAAGCTTCAACAACTTTATTTAGTTACAAGTTTATCCCGTGTGATTAATATTCCTTGATTGCCTGAAGCAAGATCATGTTATTGTCACATTATTGTAAATTTGTTTTTGTCACGGAAAACATATTTTCTGCAAATAAAAAAGTTGAATGACAATAAGCATCTTACTACGACTGAATCTGTTTTATTGACACAAACCGTAGGTAAAAATTTCGTCACGTGATTTAGCAACAATATTGGTGGTCTGTATTTTATGACAGTTTGTCTCATCTCACATAACCTCTCTTCTTGCTTACATTATCTGGACTTAATATAATTCTAATTGGTTATGAGATGTATCTGAAGAAAATAATGGTAATCGATTAAAAAAATACAGGATTTGTTCAGAAAAATTCCCTTTGACGTCTTTTTTTTTTTCAGATCGAGGAGAACGTCTTTTTTTAGTAGAAAAATCATTCCTCAAAACACAATTTTTTGGCCAAATTTACAATTTTATCACATTTAGTAAGGTGGTGAATGCTTAGTGTGTTGCCCTGAAAATCAATAGTATTATAAAAAAATGTGTGACCAGTTACTGTGTTGCAAGATGTAATAATTAAGAGAAAATACAGGTTAGGGTACATAGCCAAATTATTCAACAAAAAATAAGCACCTTTTAAGCACTCAAACAATATTGCTAAGCACCTTAAAAAAATATCATAACTAGGCAGGGTTGGAAAGTTTTTGACAATTGACGATTTTATCTTGTTTTAACCGTCATGTCAAAAAATAAATAAAAACTTTTGGCATTGTTTTTGAGAATTGTCAAAAATTATTAAATTTTCAATTATGTAAAACTAATGGCGTTTTCATACGCTACGGACTGACAATATGCCGAAATAGATTGGGGCTGAATTAATTGTGAAAACGTTGAATAGAACAATGTGAACTGTGACTTTTTGCATAATTCGAAAAGAAAATTAGCAGAGTTAAGGAAAAATCTCATTTTGAAAAAGGGAAAATTAAGCACTTTTTAAAAACACTCAATGAAAAAAGCACCTTTAAGGGCCTTTAAAAAACGAAAATCGAAAATAAGCACCCTTAAGCACTTTTTAAAACGCTACACACCCTGCAGGTGTTGCAAGATGTAATAATTAAAGTAAAAGAGTCCCATACTTAAGGAAAGAATGGAATACAAGAAAGGTCATATTTCAAAATGTGAAATAATTCCCAGAAATCCAGATTAATTTATCAAGGATTAGACTGTCATTGAATAAAAATTAGTATTATAGAATGCACAAATGATATGACATTTTACAAAAAATAGACCCAGCATACACTGAATCACTTTAAATTTTCTTTGAGATAAAATTGAATATTACTCCATAAACAGATGTAAAACTGAAATTTAAATACAAACCAATAAATTCACCAATAAATTGAGTGTTTATAAGCTCAACTTTAAAATATGTAATAAGTTTCCACTTTTACTTCTAGCAAGTAATTTCTTCATCCTTTATAAAAAGAAAAAACTTGACTCCCAACATAATTAACAATAACTTATACATTATCCAACAAAACAAAAAGTAAAGTTAAAAACTTGAAGCTGTAACAAGGGCAGGGACATTAAAAATACAAAGAAAAATATTTTAAAAAATATTGTCACAAATCACTTACCATATAATGCAGTCCAAGCTTGATTTATGACATCCAAACACACAGTTCCAGACCTGTAATAACCAAAATACAATTAAAAAAATTAAAATTATTTAAATTAAAAACTAAAATAAGAACAATATTAAATAAAACCATTTTGCTAGGCCTACATGCAGGCGTAATGGTGAATCGAACTCAAAAATCCTGAAAATTTGTTGACTAAAATCATTACTAACGCATTTCAAAAACTAATGCCTTCATAAAATCATTGATATTTTCAAAACATGACATTCTAAAAAAAATTATATGCAGCATAATTTAAATGAATAATTATGTCTAAGTTTACTTTTATCTCTAATCACATTTATTATTATTTCAGATAAAAATATTTACAAATGAAAGAGATGCCAAAGTATAAATTCTAGTTCTAATATTTTTAAATAAAATAAGCAAGAATTTTTATACATAAAAGTGATCAATGATTTCTTGAAACTTCTGGACCTCAAATTTCCGGAAAATTCCGGAAAACTGCAAAAAATCTAGAAATCTGGATTTTTCCGGAGCACAATCATCAAAAAAGTAGTAATTTAAAATAATAACAATAATTATAATATTAACATAAATAATTTCATGCTTGGAAGGGAGGGGCTTGTAAAAAAAATTCTGATACGCCTGTGACAATGAGGAGGGAGAGAATGATACAAGTGTGGCAGCAAATAATTTTATTAAAACATTTAATATCAACAGATTAAATAAATTATAGTCAGTTTTTATATCATTGTCATCAAAATAAGTACACATCTAACCATTATTGTTAACTTTAAAAATGCCGTTAAAACACAAAGCAAAAATTTAAAGAAAAGACCTTTCTGTATTTTATGCAATATTTTGCATGATGTGCAATGTAGCATGATATGTGAGAAGGGGGGGGGTAAGGTGAAATATGACACTTTGAGACAAAGGAGTGAAAGTTTATTAAAAGAAAGTGACATTTATAAACTACAATGAAATAAATATACAAACTTTGATAACTTAAAACATAAATGAAAGCCTAAAAAACATCAAGTTAAGACATTACCCTAAACAAAAAACAATTTGAATAGAGAGTACGTTCTGTATATCAAAATGCTGATTGACACAAAATAACCCATAATACTTTACGAAAGAAAATCTTTTTACGAATATTCTAATGAAAGTAATTTGGAACAGCAGTAAAAGTCAACAAAGTAAACGCTGTGTGAATGATGCTATTGAACTGCATGCCACAATAAAGTAATAAGCAACTTTTTCCAAAGGTGACATTCCTTAGTAGAGTTTCCAGAGGAATTTTAAAATTTTTAAGAATTTTAACTACATAACAAAATAAACAGTAGCATATTATTTCCCAAATTGAACTTGTGGTAGTCTTCCTCTAAAAATGCACATCCAAAGTAATTTAAAAATATGGCTTGCCATTTATGTTGTCCCATGCCCCTTATTAACTATAACCAAAAATTACTTATACAGCCACGAGAATAATTAAAGAACAGCAACAACTTACTGGAAAATGCCTATCAACACAAATCGTGAAAAAATAAACATGTGAAACTAATTCTCACAAAAGGAAACCATTTAAATTATTTAATACTTATTTACATTTTTTAACTATATTTTTATATATGCCATATATATATACTATATTTCACTATATTTTTTTACTATATTTATTTATATATTGACAGCCTAACAAGCTAATAAGCTTTTCATATAAATCATTATTAAGGGGAATAATATAATGAAGTAAAACAATAAACCATTTCAATTTACTATGCTATCCTAGATGAAAATGAACAAACTATCATTCACACCAAGCTGTTAGAATAGTACAGGTAATTAAAAACAATGAATTACCTTTTTGTATTCTAATCTTCACACTTTTATTCATTCATTTCCTTTTTTTGTGCATGTGTGTGGGTGTAACAATAGACATTCCTCAAACATCCAATCTTTCAAAGTTTTAAAATGGATTCTTATAACAATACAGAAATTAGAAGAGAGCACTTTCTTGGCTTACTTTTTAAACAGGCAGAGTAAGACTATTAAGTCCAAAAAAGTTTTCAGATTCTTCTCACGTTAAAAATTAATCCCAAATGCTATTTAATTTATATTCACCAATTTCATTCCCTACAATTGTAAACCAGCATAATGTTAGGGACTAGCACCAAATGCCGATAAAAAATTAATAAAATTTTTTATATAGATACAATAGATAAAACAATATTTAATGGAAGAAAAAACAAAACATTACATAAATTAATACACCAATTTGACAGCTGTGGTGAAAACTAATTAAGTATAAATGCCATACTTACACTTCATCAATATTGGGATGATATATTTTGTTCATGAATCCTAAAAAAAGTAACAGGAAAATGGTATGAACTTTCAAATGTATTTGGTATGAACATACAAATTTCAAATAATAATTTATTTATAACATAAAAATCAATAATTAAGAAAACAAAAACACAATAATGTAGAGTACTATTTTCAAATGATATGCAAAATGCATTTCAAATGAATATTTCACATTACATTACTTATTTTTAATTAATTGGTTCACAAATATTAAAAATCAAAGATTACCATAAAAATAAATATGAATGTAAAAAGTTATCCTTAAATTAGGATGTTTCCACAATTTGAATTTTCTAGTAATGATACATTTCTAACGGTTAATTCTAAAATATCTAATGATATTAAAAAAAAAATGATATTTGACTTTTTAAATAACTAAAGCATTGTGAATTTGATACTTTAGATTGTTTCCACATAGGTACTGACACCAAAACCTTCCCATTAAGACACAGCTTATTTCGTTTGAATAAATTTATACATTTAATGATAATTTTATGTAGCTTTTTAAAAAAAAAAGAAAGTTAAAAATTTTAAGATGTGGTTCATAACTTACAGGTCACAAATACTTTCTGAGGTAGATCAATAAAAAATAATAAATAAAAGCCACCAAAAAGCAAGCATAAAAATAATTTTTTTTTAAAAATTACAATTTATAAAATTTGAAATTTTATATTAAACACAGTGTAACATTGGGGATTACTAATACCCAAAGCTATATTCAAAGGGAGGAAGAGAGCTACGACTGTCTCGTGGCTCAGAACTGCTGAATCTCACTCCAAAATCTGCATAAAAAAAGCTATTTAAATAATCAACTAAATAAGAAAAAAAGATTTTTTGTGTTTTAAGGAAAGGGAGAGTAAAAACCTAGATTCAGCCTTACAAGTGCCAGTTCGCAAAGTTAGAAAACATTCTTGTTTCCTACTAATTATCTAGGTTGCCTTTTCAGTATGAATTACCTTTGGTGAAGGCATGACTTTACATGTTTAGTTGCATAGTTGGAAAAAAAATGCAAATAATACTATTATGAATAACACATTTTCAGACTAATTTTTTACATTAAATTATATTGAAACCTAATTAAAAAATTTACTGGAATTATTTTATTGGTTATTTTCATGGCTCTTCATCGTTAATGATTTCCTTACTTGATTATTTAGTGATCCAATGAGCAAAATCTGCCTATGATAGCATCAAGAGGGATAAGTTGCTTGAGGCAATGAATGAGCTCGGTATACCTGCGAAGCTTGTTAACCTCACCGGTGATACACTCAATAATGTGAGATACAGGATTAAAATTCAAAACCATCTTTGTGAACCCTTTGTAACTGAAAGAGATTTGAGTCAGGGTGATTCCCTTGCTTGCCAATTTTATATATTGCTTTGGAGAAATGTATCCGGGATAATGGATTAGACCGAAAAGGCACTCTCTAGAATAGGTCTCTAGAATAGGTTCGAACTCTTGAAGCTGCTGACACAAATATAGGTCTTTCTATTAACGAAGATAGGACGAAATTCATGGAATTTTTGTCCTCAACAGTAAATTACAGTGCCCCTTTGTGTATTAATAGTTATACCTTTGTAAGGGTTAATGAATTCAAATACCTTGGCACTGTTGTTAACAATCCATACTTAGAGCAGAAATCAACAATAGAGTCAAAATGGCTAACAAGTGTTTCGTTGGACTGAGGAGACAATTAAGATCGAACTTTCTCAGCCGAAAAACAAAGTTAAAACTCCATAAGACACTCATACTTCCTGTACTGCTTTATGGAATCAAAACTTGGACCCTAAATTCAGATATACAGGGGTCACTGGACACCTTTGAAAGAAAGATCCTCAGAGCCCATCTTTGGCACAATTCAAGAAAGGGGATGCTGGCTAACCAGATGTAACTTCAAGCTCTACCAACTCTATAACCAGACCCAAATTACACAAATAATATGAAGTAATAGGCTGCGGTGGATGGGCCCTACATGGAGAAGCCCTGAAAAGAGCTCCATGAGAATCAACGACATTCAAACTGACCTGAAAACCCAAAAGATTAGATATTGGAAGAGAGTTGCCACGGATAGGAGGCGCTGCCATTTGTCAGCTGTTGAGCTAGCCAAGGCCTGCAAGGGGCTGTTGTGCCGACAAAGAAGAATGTGCAAAATCAATTTGCTTTTCTTAGCATTAAATCCTAACTCTTTTTGCATCCCACATTAATGAATAATTAATAAACATTGTTAATTCAAAATGAACATCATGTAAATTTAAAATTTTGGCTAAAAATTAGAACCTATTGTTTAGATGGAGAAAAAAAAGATAAAATTAAAATTAAACATACTATTAAATATTATATGATTAAATACTATATAACTGTAATATAATTTACCAATTGATGGAGACTTGAATGGATACTTCTCTGGCAAATCAACTCTTACTTTCCATACACCCCCTTCATATGGTGCTGGAAAAAAAGATAGTTTAAAACAAAAATGAGGTTTCAATGCAAGTTTAACTTGTATATGTACAACTTTAAAAATATTAAATATAGCCAGTGCCTAAAATAGCAAAAATTATAAATTAGTTTTTGCAAGTATGTAACAATCTACAATTTTGTACTTATCCATTAGCTTAGTATTAGACAAAACTTTCTGCATCAAAATTAGTGAAAGTTTTTGAACTATTAAGAAGGATAATGATATGTTAATTATATTGTGCCTGTAAGTAACAACATTTAAAGATTTTACTTTTTCAGAGAAAGAAAATGTTTATTATTGCCATTGTAAGACACTAACACATTAAATTTTCTAAATGCATTCATTACTAATGCATTGTTAATGAAGCTAAGAAGAGATTTTGAAAAGCTTTATCCAGGACCCGGAAAACAGATCGGTTACTTGGTTCATATATATTTTTTTTTAAATTCCCATGGAAGTACAGAAACTGGCATAATTAAATCACCTCTCAAAATTATTGAAAGCGATTAGCCCTTTTAAGCTTTTGTAAGAATTTTAAGGTAATTTTTTTAAAAAAGATTTTTCTTAAAAAATTATTGAATTGTTAAATTTAACGGAATGTCTGTATTTCTGTTCAAGAGACACCTAAACAGACAAACTATCAAATAAATCATTAGCATCAACAATCAGATAAATTAAGCATTAGACCTAGAGCTTCCAAAAGCTTCTAATCTTGACCAATAATCAAATTTCATTCTATTTTCATCAGACTATCTGAATTTTTGGCTTTTTGATGACATAAATCAAAGATGTAAGTTCAATAATCAGCAATATGGTTATTACTTGGTAAATAGCACTATGACATTTACCATGTTTAACTATCACAAGAACATCAAAAACTTTTGCTTCTGTGAGACCCAAATTATTATTTTTTGATTGATCTCAAGTGCTGAGTACACATTTTACCAGTCTCTTTTGCCTATTTTAAAGCTTTGTAAAATATTAAAAGATTAAAAATTTTCTTTTTCATAACACAATGGCAAATATGTTGTTTTTGCCAAAAGAGCAAGTACCACTTAATTATTTGTTAAGTTCATGCAAAATATTGTTTTCCATTTATACACTTCTTCTAACTTTATACAACTTCAATTTAAACACTTGATCTTTATTTCCTTTTTCTTGAAATGCAATGAACAATCTCAGTGAATAAATATGTGTGATTTTTTCACATAAGGCACAAGAGAAGTTGCCAAATTTTGGTAAAAACTAAAAAAATATTGCCAAAGGGAATCAACTCAAAGGGTACACAACTTGTAGTAACCTCTAGTAAACTATTACATTTTATAAAATTTTTACAAGTAAAAAACCTTTTGGTATTTTGACACAAACAGGTAGTACCGATGCAAAAACAACCCTGCAAGTGAAGAATATAAAAAAATATTACAAGTGAACATTAGATTTGAATAACTAACTCAAAGTAGCAACTTATACTCACTGCAACTCGAAAGGTAAAACTTCTAGCCACTTCCAGGTGAATCACTATATTAATCCATGTATTTTTTTAAATTCATCTTAAATACAGTAACCAAGCAGTTATGCTTGGTAGTTTCAGTTGGTAGTCAAAAGTACATGCATGGAAATATGTATATCCAATTTCTCTTTGTTAAAGATTATTTAAAGTACAGCACTAATTAAAAAATGTGAATCAGATATAGATTTTTTTTCTTCTTAAAATGGCTAGAAGATCAACCTTTATAAAAATATATGGCTTAAAATGATGACTTTAAACATAATGTATATAAACATTATCACAGATAATTTTACACTTCTTGATTATGACTTGAACATTTTCAGAATACAGTCATGTTATAGATTTTTTTAACTCATGAAGCTTTACATCTTATACATATACAGTTTATCTTAAACATATACAGTTTATCTTATACATATACAGTTTATTGGGTTAATTTAAATTAAATCTTTAAATGTTTAATTCTTTTTGGCATACATTTCTTCCCAAACTAATTCAAATACTATGTACTTGTTTTACTAATAGTTATATTAAAAATCTAAATTTATCATCCCAGTTTCAGAAAAAGATAATTAGTAAATAAGTCAAGTATATAAGTATATAAGTCATAAGTATTTCATAGTTTATGGCAATAATGATGTAGCTAAATTGAAAGAAAAATACAAAATAAAATTTAAATCAATGAACCAATAAACATAAATAAATTTCTTTATGGCAAACAAAAGTTTTAGATATTAAAAAAAGTGAATAAATGAAAGAAAATATAATGAACAAAAAGTATTAGAATATTTTATATTTTTAACTCATCAGACCATATTGATTTTTCATTGCTTTCTTAAATATGAAAGATTAAAACATACAACTTTAATGTAAGCATTTAGTTTATATACATTCACTATAGGATTATTTTGTTGAACAAATATATAAATATTCCTTACTTCCTTTTGGGCCATAGAACTTGACACAAAATTCATTTAATCCACCTAAAATTGTGACTTCATGTTTGCTTTCTATGCTAGATAATATGGTTAAGTATTATTAAATATGGTTTATATTCTAAATTATGTGGCTTCCAAAACTATACATTTAATTAACAGTTTGATAATTGACTTCAGATATAAATAACCAAAGTTGTAAATGCCTATATAAACAAAACAAAAAAGCATACATATGAGAAAAGTTAAGACTACAGCATAATGTAAACAAATTTGTTTATATATGACTGCATTTTAAAAATTAATACTCGTGAAGTCGATCGATAATTTAATAAAACAAAGGATGCACAGTAATTAAAAAAGAACAAGTTGTAAAAAAATAAAACATTTATCATTCAAAAACACATTTTACAATTCTTAAGAATTTTTACTTTGTTATCAAAAATATCGATTTTAAAAGAATATATATGCATTACCTTGGTTTCTTTGGACTTAACAAATAAAATCATACAAACTAAATTTATCGCTTACTTTTCTTATTGCTTTTAATATTTTCAATGATTCTAGAATTATAAATTAAATTTTAAAACATTTTCTTACTAGGATTAGCATTAAAACAGAAAATTTCAGAAATGTTTAAAATGCATTTTAGATTATCATAATACAATAATCTATAATTAGATACAAAAAATAACACAGCTTCGCCTATTTTGTTTTTAAAATAAACATTTATATCGTCAAATTACTTGTCAAACAGGTTTTAGATTATTCGATTAGCTTATTGATCGATTTTTTATTTACCTATTTAAAAAAATTCTAAATAAAGTGTCAAATGCAGTGCCAATCTGAAATGCTTTTCGTATTTTAGATTGATTACTTCTTTTGTTTTTAAGCTGCAACGCACATAAAATTGCAATGCAATTAATTGAACCATCGGAAAGTGACATTATTGTCAATTTTATTTTCAACGTAGAGACTTTAGGCCTACTTAGGCTTACAATTACATCATAATTTTTAATATACTTCAATCTAAACAAAAGTGACTGCAACCAAAACAAGGCCCTAAATTCGTCGCAGGGGGGTACCAGATTAAGATTTCTCAGAGAAAGGATACAGTTTAATAACATCCGTATCCATTCGTCGCTTTCCAGCGCTTGGAGAAGACATCTTTTGTTCAACTTAGTTATGCGTTTGATCTTTTTGATACCAGCTGGAATATACAGTAATTTCTCAAAATTCAACACGAGACTCGTTCGTACAAGAACTTTCCAACGATATGCAACCTCGCATCACAAACCTTCCTTCACCTTCAATGCAAACAGCTTAGCAACTATCTTTTGACGTCACCTATCATGTGACGCTTGTTTTGTTTTGACACTGTGTTTTTACTTTTTTTAAATGTAATAACGAACCAAGAACGATGTATATTATTAATATCTTTAAAAGCCTAAAAATTAAGAAATTGTTGTTAACTGCCCATGAAATACGAGAAATAAAAAATCCTATTTTTCATTCGCTATGTATAAGCAGGACAAATCATGTCTAATAAATAATAATATAGGTGACGTGATGTTACAACCATACAAATTTAGAAAGATTTTTAATCAGTAAGGCATTTTTAACAGGTATAAAATAATTTATTTTGAGAAATAATTCATTACTTAATTAATAAAGTGTCAAACCCCGCCTCTTCCTTCCTTTCTTTTTTGCTTTTCTTTGAAGCTCCGCCCAATCATCTGACAAGCGTAAACAATACATGCAATCCATGACTGTTTCTAAAAATGACAAGTTTTGGAAATGCTATCTTTTTGTTTGCAATTAATTCGCGAAATTTTTCGAAAAGAGCATTTCTTTTTATGAATCATGATGTTTGTGAAAAAGTATAAGAATAAAGTGACGTCAGTAAATATGCAAACGTCATCGACCATTAAATAAAAATGATACTTGGATAAGGTGTAAAAGAGGATTATTGTAAAAATTACAATCCATTTCAAAACATTGCATGCGTTAAAAGTTTTATTAGAGTGGATTAAAATAAAAGTAATCAAAAGAAGAAGAACACAACCCCTTACACTATGAAATCATATTAATGTAAAAAATAAATAAATAACAGAGTAATAACAATTAATTTTAGAAAAATATTCTTCACGTAATAACAGAATTTTCTAAACATTCACATTACTTAAACAATTATGTTTGTTGAAATTTATGAAAATTTCTGAATAATTGATTAAAATATTTTTTTCCCAGAAAAAAACATGTGTAGTCAAAAAATTTAATTTAATTTATATTATTATTTTATTGTTAAAAACTTTCGCCATTTATTTTTGAAAACTGACAAATTTTAAATAATTTTATTTATTATGTTTTCGCACGGAATAAAGATATTTTAAAATTAATTATGAACGCCATTATATAATTCATTAATTTATTTTAATATAATGGTAAATAAGGTAGTTTTAAAAAATACATAAATAAACGTTTTTACGCTTTAATGTATTTTTAAAAAACATGGAAAATGTTTTATTTACTAATAAATTTCTGGTTTTTTTTATTAACATTTCTTTTGTTTATTTATTTTTATTATTATTTAAAAATTAAGATTTTTTTTTTATTATTATAATTTTTTTTTTTTTTTTTTTTTTTTTTTTTTTTTTTTTTTTTTTTTTTTTTTTNTTTTTTTTTTTTTTTTTTTTTGCTTTAAAATTATTTATTGATTGTTGAATAAAAATATGTCAAAATATAATTTTGGGGGAAAAAAGTGATTGGGACTTGACACAAATTACGCAGTTAAAAACATCAAATACTAGATAAAGACAAACCATAATGTAGTTCGAATTCACTGGAACCTTAATATGTCATTACGGTGAATCAGATTATCCTTATTTTTTAAACTTAATTACAGGATACTAAGGATACATAAACACCTTTTAATCTAATGCTTTTAGGCGGCGAATTTGTACAGTACCATACTATGTCTCGAGATACCGATATTATAGTGTAACAAAATCATAAAATTTTCAAAACATACTTTTTTATTTTTTTGAATAATTTGACGAAACGCATGCAACAGTAGAGCATTTCTCTAAAAATATAAATTGAAATTCACAAAAATAAAAAAAAATGCTTGGATTTTTTTTTTTTTTTTTTAAGTAAGATTTTTTTACATTCGCTGGTTCAATTTCCCCTTCGATTTTCATTTTACTGGATTTGATCAAAAACTTTACAGTATTACAGTATGTATTATAATAGCATGTATAAGAGAATTTTCACAAGATTTTTTTTCTCTCTTTTTTGCATAATTTGATGAAACGCACGTAACAGTAGAGCATTTCTTTGAAAATATAAATTAAAGTTCACATGATTTCAAAAAATGCTTGGATTTTCCTTCCTTTTTTTCCAAAATCAAGGGGTCGACTTATCCACCTGTAATCAAGTCTGATATTCGTGAAATATCGATGCATCATAGACAATAAGATAAATATGAATAACTCAGTATCACTTTATCTTTACTAATTACCCATTTCAAAATTATTTTTAGTGCGTTATATGCTATTAATTTTGCATTTTTCTTACTAAATTTTCTTTACAATAAGGCTTTTTTTTTTTTTTTTTAAGAAACAATACGTCATAATTACGTTAAGAAATTAAGAATAAGTGTTTCAAAAAACATATCATAATGAAAACTTTTAAAATATTACATGAAGATGCAAGTTTAAAAATTCCAGAATGTCATTTGTGTTGGATTTATTAACGTTATAGCCGTGTTGTCTAAGGATCATACTCTGCAATGTATTTTAATTCATCCTCCTCATCTGCTGAGTCCCACAAAAAATCGTCTTCTACCCCCCCCCCAAAAAAAAAGAATACAAAATTCTACATTTTTTAAAATATTTTACAATAATGTTTGAATCCACATTTTGCAATGCGCGTTCGTGTAGTATTACTTGACACATGATGTCAAATGAATTATAGTCGACTTACAGACATCAGCCGATGGTCGATACTCCCGACATAGAGATTGGCTATCTCGTAATCGAAAATAGCTGGACCACTTATACGCTGACATAAACGGTATATATGTGACAAAATTCCAGTCAAGCGTAGAAATTTCTTTTTTAATTTTTTTTCATTAATTAAATGATATACCCTGGTTTAAAACTTTTTCGTGGCCGGGATAGCCTGGTTGGCAGGGCAATGGACATACGTTTGTGGGAACGATAATTCGAATCCAACCCGCCGAAGATTCCCCGTGTAGTAAATGGTGACTGGTGCGTGTTAAATCTGTCGGGTGACAAAGTCCTCCATGCTCCCATAACAATTCGATACCTCTGGGGGTACTGAGTTGGAGATTGATCGTTCTTTGGTTCAGGTCGAAATTACGATCTGTGACTGAATGAATGGATGTATGAATGGGTCCACCCTATAAACGGGTGTGACGTATGTGTGGCAGAAGTCGAATTCTCGGCCAAAGATGGCGCCACTGAAAAGCAGGAACAATCACGCCCCCTATGCCTTAATGGCCGACAACGACAACAACGAAACTTTTTAGTTCAAAATGTTGCTGTTTATTAAAGAAATATTTTTTTTAATTCTGCACGCACGAAACAGTATGTATTTTTATAGCCATGTTTTACTTAGATTTCATTTTATTTTTTAATTTATTTTTCGTGTTTTGAATTTTTCTGCTAATCGGATGGAAAAAAAGAAAAAAAATTATTGTGACTATCATCAGTAAGGCTTCAGACATGAAGTTAACGTTATCAGTTTCAGACTTATTGAGATTTACTAACTTCCTTTAAATGAAAAATTTAATATGTACAGTTTTATTCATCAAGAAATCATGCTTGACATTTTAATAAATTGAATTATAAATCTTGATAATCAGGATTTCTATGAATTCAAAATGTGACAATTTAATTTGAAGAAAAAAAAGAAAGAAACCTTCCCATAAAAAGAAATTATATATATTTCTAAATATCCAGGTTGAGCTGTGGTGGCTCAGGAGATGAGCATTCGCCTTCTTATAAGATAAATCGGGTTCGAATCTCAGTGATGGCTAGGCGATATGAATTCCGCAGCAGGCTTGCACCGACCGCAGTGCTGACGTAAAGTGCCCTCAGTGATAGATTGATTATGGGTTAGAGACCCCTTTCCGCCAGGCTAACTGTGGAAGGTTTTCTTGATTTTCCTCTCTATATATAATGCCAATGCGTGTTAGTTCCATCAAAAAGTCCGCCACGAAGACAAAATTTCTTCCAATTCTTGATTCAGGAGTTCCATTGTCTTCTGAATTGGGTTTGAAATTTCAAGGCTATGGAGTTGAACATTGGTAGCCGTAAACCCAAAATTGTGTCGGCTCTTCGGCGACTGTTATAAAAAGTGCTAGAAGGTGGATAAAAATATTTCAAAATAAATATTATGTCTGAAATGCGCCCACAGAAAGGGACCAAACATTTTTCTACATTCTGATAAAAAATATTGTATTAAGGATCATGATTGTTTAACGGCCATCATTACTAAGCACCCTGCATGCATATTTATATGCTGTAAGAGAGTAAACTAAATTTTCTCCAAATTCGTCAGCAAAAGCAAAGTTCCAATACTAGTAGGTAGATAGAAATATTTTTTTTAAAAAAATGTCTATAAAAAAGTTTTAAAATTCTGATTTTTTAAAATTTTATAAATTAATTTTAATTTTCTTTACTAGAAAGTATTATTAGATCGAATATTAAATTAAATACTTTTAATTAATTGCAAATCCATGGATTGTTGCAATTGCGTAAGATACACCCCAGCGCTTTATACATATATTTCAGGAGAACGTTTTAGAAAAGAACATCACGATTTCCATGTTAACAACAAGATATTTCGATGCATTGTGTTGTTATCTAGTGGACATTCTTTGTGCTTATAAAGTACCTTCCTGGAAGTAATACTACGGAACAATTTGATGTAAAAGAAAATGCCGCTTTTGGAAAAAATGTGGCTTATCACAATATCACTCAAATAGTCCCAGGACTCTCAATTTGGGAGAATTCCAATATTTCAATAATTGCTTCCCAATTACAGCTGACTTAATTTCAATTTCTACGATAAGCATTAACAAACCACCGATTTCGAAAACACCTCTAAAGTATTTTGCACGATTGTGTGGCATAAATTAAATTAGTAATGGGACCGAATTTACTATATTCTGTTTAAGAAGCATGTTGTACACAAACTTTTACTTTTTTTTTTAAAATTGATAAGAATTTTAAATTTTTTGTTGACTTTTTAAAATTTTGTCAGAATAATAAGTCTGGTTCATATTATATTTCATTTTTATCGACACCAAAGTTAGCAGTTTTCTTGTAGAAACAAAAATGTTCAAAGGTG